CCAGGCTCAGCCGGTCCCTGTTAGGGGCCTTGTTCCAGGCTCAGCCGGTCCCTGTTAGGGGCCTTGTTCCAGGCTCAGCCGGTCCCTGTTAGGGGCCTTGTTCCAGGCTCAGCCAGTCCCTGTTAGGGGCCTTGTTCCAGAGCCCAGGAGTGAAATCACTCTGCCAAGCCCGCAATTTGCACCAGTGACTTCCCGATCACAGGTACATTGTCCGAACCCGCTGAGACACACACCACTCCCCATACTTCCTATAGCGTATGATTGTATGTTCCCTGTGACAAACTGGTGTTTCCTAGGATAGGCTCCAGGGTCATCATGATCCTGTGATGTTTACCTGAATGAATAATGAATGTTTTAAAATTTACTTATGGTAGTGTGTTAAGGTTTAGTACACAAGTGGCTTTTCAATGCCAACAAACTGGATGCTGTTAGAGTTAATGTCTGTGCCTTAAGATATAGTCTTTTAGAGTTAATTCTGGAAATGGAGTTTTACCTGATCACTGTTGTCTTGAGGTTTAGAGTGACATCTTTGCATGAAGAAAGAGTGACAGTGAATGTTGCTGCAAATGTCTTGCTAACACTCATAAAAGGCTCTGCTAGGTTACTGCTTCCTTTAATAAGAAGACAAATTTGTGTACTGAGAGGCAGACTCCCCACTGAGCTACTCATAAGTATGTAGTAATGAATACTCTGCTCTGGCCTGTACAATGCCTTGCATGCAAAGGAGTAGGAGAGAGTTTGATAATGGGGAGGACAAAACTTAATTTAATTTAAATACAAAGGTCTTGTGACTGGGGGAGAGCAGATGACGGAATATTGGGAGGTGCACATCCCCACGGTTACTGGTTCAAAAACTGAAATATTAGCCTAATACTTTCATAAGTTTTCAAATATCATACTTAGTAGGCCTATTCGGTAGAACCACCTTTTGCCAAAATGACCGCTTTGAGTCTATGACTGTATGTCTGAGTTTTGTGCCCTTGTTATGGTTATGGACAGCATATTTGGACTGTGGGATGTTTAAATCATGCTATACATTCTTGAAGAAGTTGAAGTCAGGACTTTGGGCTGTTATCTGACATTTACATTCTTGCCATTGTTGCTTGCCAGCATTGCTTTTGCTGTGGGTTCATTGTCCTGATTAAAGATGAATTTCTTGTGAAGCTTCTGCCAGCCATTTTATTCTATCAGTTTATGGAGTTTCATTTATTTATCTTACGATCCATTTACACTACTGTTATTCTAAACTGTGGTATGTTGGTATGTACTATTGTGACTCTGCGTTAAGTGCTTTAAGCCAACCAGATTGAGAATGTCACTATATAAAAGTTAATTCAGTTGAATCTGGCTCCCTTGCAGTAATTTGCACCATTGCTAAGTTCATTCTTTCAGTTATGACTGGATAACCCTGCTGGTGAGAACCATCCCCATAGCATAATGGTGCTACCATCATTCTTGATTGATGTTTTTGTGGTATGGGCAGTGTTACCTTGAACTACAGAAAGCACTTTGCATTTTGGCCAGTTTTGGTTTCACTGCACCACAACTCCTTGTGGTTCTGTCTGCAGAATCCCAGGTAGGCTTTGAGTTCCTTTGTTTTGTGTGAAGTGTATTTTTTTTCTTGAAGTATCAGTGTATATAGGGCTCTTGATATGGGCTTTGGTGGCCTGATCTTGCACTGTTTACCACCAGATTCTGTAGGTCCTTCATAGTAATTGCTGGCTACTCAGTAGCTGCCCTGGCATGTCTAGGCAGTATCTAAGTAATATTTTGCTTTTATTCCTTAATTATTGAGCCAGCAGTACCCACTGAGCTACATTTATATTTATATATAATTTTGTACCCCTTTTGTTGTGTAGTTTTAATTTCTTTAGGATGCTTTTTGGTCCCCATGTTCATGATTTTTCCTTCATATTCAGCTCATATTTTATCCTTGGATAAATCTTATATGTGGTGTATATATAGATACTCTTATAGTGTACTAATGACTGCTCTTTTTAGAATATCTGCATTGCAGAAATATGTTCATGATGAATGACTAAAAAAGGCTGCTTAGACAAGAGAAACACACAACCATGTAACAACACATCAGTAAATGTCATTAGTTCAGTCCCTCAGATTCTAATGAATAATGCAATGTTTGGATCTTCCAAAAGTGGTCCTGATTGGATGCCATGGGTAATGTGTATAGAGAGGTCTTTAGAAGGGAATTG